AGAAAGAAAGAAAGAAAGAAAGAAAGAAAGAAAGAAAGAAAGAAAGAAAGAAAGAAAGAAAGAAAGAAAGAGCAGAAAAAAGAAACAGGAAAGAAAAACCGCAGTCTAGAGACAGGTCTTGCGCAATCACCGTCCCCCAACCTCGGTGGCAAAGCATCGGGAAGGAACGGATTCCCAGCCTAGAATTCTCTAGAGCCCAAGCCCCAGGAGGCAGGACCATTGCCATAGGTCTCCACCTGCTCTGCCTGGAGTTCTCAACTACACCAAGCCACTCTAAGTGTCTGCTCTGAAACGTTAGTAGATTCTGCTGAGCTGGAAGGGTGGGGGTGAAGTAAGGGAAGGGCTCTTCTAGCTGTTGGACTACGCGCGCGCGCGCATACACACACACACACACACACTCACACACATACACACACGCAGGTGGCAAGAGTCGCTGCAGATGGGGGTTGTGACCCTTCCTTTGCTGTAAGTGTTCAAGCGGAAGGCTGCAGCCCCGCTGCCACCGTGCCCCAAGCTGTGTGCCCGCTCAGCGCTCCCAGCAGGAGTGGAGCGAGCCGGGAGGGGGCGTGGGCGCCCAACTAGCGGCTCCGCAGCCCGGGAGGGCGGGGCGGACGCTTGCCTGGGCGCGCCCCGGGAGGAGGGGCGCAGTCTCTACGGTCCGGGCGCTGGCTGGTGCTCCCCCGGCGGGTGTCTGGTTTCCAATCCACCGGCTGCACTGGCCGGAACCGGGCTCGCTTGGGTGCCAGAGGCTGGTGCGAGCGCCCGCGGAGCAACAGGAGCCCAAAGAAAGAGGGAGAAGCAACAGCAGAGAACGGCGAGGGAGCGCGGAAGGGAGGGTTCCTGAAGCCCGCGCCCTCCACCCCGGGGCCGGATTCTGCACTGAATGGGCACGAACCGCGGGCGAGGTGGCAAGTAAGTGTCTTTTCTACAGCTCCCTTGGTGCGGCGAGCGGGGAGCCGCCAGTCGCGCCGGCGCTTGCTTCAGCCGCCACACCCACCTGTGTCCGCCTCGCAGCGGTGGGCTTTGGTCACCCGGAGTTAGGCCCCCGAAGTAGATGGGGGAATGGATGCACGGAGGAGCCCCAGCAATGGATGCAGTGGCAGGGCCACTTTTTTCATAGGCCGGTCCTTGACGGGTTTTGTAGGTGTGGATTTGTTGCCACGTTCTGAAATTGTGGAGAAGAGACGCAGCTACACCTGCCCGTTTACTGTCAGTTGCTCCCTACCGGCCGTCTTAGCCTGGATTTCGGTTCGGGGGGGGGGGGGGAGGGAGGGGGCTGCTCGTATTCTTTGGAGCAAAAAGCATGTTTTGTATTTAACGTTTTTCAAGCTGAGGGGGCAGAAAGCAGTGGAGCTGGTGCTACCTGTGGGGACAGTGAAGAAACGCCGCGCCCCTTCGGAGCTCGTAAATACAAAGCAGAATGCTTAGCCCTTTTCTTGTAGCAGTTGATTTTTTTTTCCCAAACAAGTATTTTATAGGCGAATTCATTCAAAAGCATTAAAACTTTTTATCGACTTCAACTGAATTAGTTTTAGTGGGGAAAATGGTGTTTGCATATATTAAAGGCAATAAAAAGATCAAAATAGGATTGCAAACAGGAAACTTTAATGTCATCTTTTGTGACAATAGCTAACATTTCACTCATTATTTCAGTGTTTTAAGTTGTAGCATTTATAGTCATTAGTATGTCTACTGGGGCTGAGAGAAAATTTTATGTGAGAGCAGCTTAGGACATGTTTTAAAAAGCTCACTCGAATAAGATAAGGACCAAATCAACACAAGGGTTTAAATGTGTGAAGGCTTTTCAGCTGCTGCATGTGAAACCAGTGTTGAAAGAGTCAGTTCTTGCCAGAAACACTGTTCTATTTCTCCTTCTCTGTGGCTAGAGAAAATATATATCCTGTTCTTTTTTTTTCTTTCTGTAATTTAAAATATATTTTCATGATTTTTACTTAAACATTAATAAAATCTGACTATATATAACCTGCTAATTCAATCCAATTATTGTCCATTTTATTTAAAAGTTTTTACATTTTTGAAAAAATTAGTTCATTTTTCTAGTAACTGTGCTAAGTAGAATTTTTTAAAAATGTTGATTGTTAGAAAGCTAGCTTAGCCAAATGCTCTGGAAGGAATTATCATGATTGTTAGAATATTTTCCTCACAATAAATGCTAGACAAAATATGGCATTTGATATAAAGGAGGATGTGTCCTCTCTTTAGGCAACTGATGATAGTTTGCTCAAGAATAATTTTTTATATTTGTAGATGTTTAAAATACCTGACTTTAGAAGTGAACCATTGTGCAAGCTTGGGACACAGTGAGGTATTTTTGGAGCCTGGGTATAGACCCCATGACTGATTTCTGTGTTGCAGGGAAGGCTCCCAGGGTACCTGATGCTTCTGCAAGAGAAAGATGAGTCAGGTTTGGCTTTCTGCCAGGAGCATCCTGGTGCCTTTTCTTGTCTCCTAGGGTGGGGAGATAATCAAGGGAGCCCTCTTAACTCTCTTGTGTTTTTGCTGCCTGTTGCTGATGAGTTTTGGCAGCAAAGAAAAGGTAAGAAATTCAGGGGTTGAATCAGTTGGGCTGTATTTATTCAACTTAGTTAATATGAAAAACCCACTTTTCCAAAGGCAAGGGAAAAAACTCCAGAATCTTGCATTTGCATGAATAATAAAAACTAGCATTTATTTAATTTCTGTTCCTATTAAATATTTGAAAGATTGTGAAGCTGGATGAATTTTTATGATATTTTTCTAAGACAAGACATGACCTTATAAAGGAATTTAAAATTCATTAATGTAAATGGATGTTTTTAAATGTCACAATGATAACTTATGAGTTTCCCTAGCACTGCCTCAGCCATTTCCCCAGTTCATCACCTGAGTAAATGACTCTACCATCCACCAAGTGTTGATCGTGCTCTCTTCCTCGTGACAGCATTTAATCCCTATCCAGTCCATATTTAGCGCTATCGGTCTTATCTTCCAAATGGACCTTGGTTCGGTTATACTTCTCAGATGGGTCTCTTCCCATTTTCTATTTCTACCCTGCCACCAAATTAGATCCATGTTGATGTTTACTCTGGGTTCAAGGGCATTTATCTCACAAATCCAGAGTGTCACTAAGGAAAACCCAGAGGTACATTGTAGACTAACCCATGAAGATCTATTGTTGTTATTGGGAGTAAGGGGGAGACTAAGATTCCATGCTGATTAATGACAATGTAATTTTTACACTAGAATTTATATTCACACATACATATATACATACTTCTGTGGTAGTAAATTCCTTCTTTATTTTGTGAGACCGTACTTAAAGATATTAAGTAGTCAGGTAGCTTTACTATTAACTTTGATAAAAACTTAGTTTTCACTTAGTGACAAGCTTTGATTAATACTACATTTTAATCTAGTGAGTGACTAGCCCCCACCCCCTTTTTTTTTTTGGTAAAGAAGTTGATAAATCTTGTTTCTTCTGGAACGACTTAACTACTGCATCAATTATACCAGGGATTTTCTTAATTTTTTTGTGAAGGTGACACATGTGGTTATTGTATTGTCTTGGAGTACATCAGCATGCTAATCAAAGATGGCCTTCTATTTGACATGTCACAAATCAACTATTTCCCCCCACACACAGAAATATAACTTCCTCCCTATAGAACTATTTGGACTTAGAATACCACTTAAGATGACAAGATAATGATAAAATGGATGTACAATTGTATAAACATAATTCCGTATGTGGATTTATAGCAAAACAATTACAGAATTGGGTAGACTAGTTTTGTAGAGTATAAGAACACTTTTGGTGCCTTGACATTCTGCAAAATGGAATTTCTTCATTGAAAGTTTAACTTACTTTTCCTCTCTATAAAGCTGGAAGGAAATGACTTTAGGCAACAGGGGAAGCTATCAACTGTTGGCAGCTAAAGGTGGAATGAAGTTTGGAGGGTGGTAAGGACAAATGCCAGACCATGATAAAGAGGGGAACAAAGAGGGAATGCCATGAGCAGTGCCAAAAAACAAATTTGAGTTGATATATAAAAATCACTGTGTATCATTTAGACCCACTGAGAAAATAGTCCTTTTTTCTCTTTAAAATAACAACTATATATATATATATTTTTTTTTTCTGTATTATCATGTTTTTATGGTAACATTGGTACATTGGTGTACAATATTGTATGATTTGGGGGAATAGGTTTACTCTTCTTCAGATGTATAACAACACACCCATCACCAAAGCACCCATAATCTTTAATTGTAAACCATCCAGTTTCCTAATTCTACAGTCATATTTTAAAGGTTTGTTTTGGTTTAGTTTTGTCTGTTTCTTGTTTAGTTTTTCTATATTTCACATAGGAGTGCAATCATATTTGTCTCTCTCCCTGCGATATATTGTACTTTGCATAATCCCCTTCAATTCCACCCATGTTAGCAAATAGCAAGTGGCAATATTTTGCTTTTTCTTATAGCTGAGTAATGTTCTTTATCCACTCATCTGTCCTTGGGCACTTAGGTTGTCCTCTAAACTTGGCTATTGTGAATAGTGCTGTAATGAACATAGGGGTGCATATAGTCGTTAAAATTAGTGCTTTTGCCTTCTTTGAGTAGGTACCTAGGAGCGGAATTGTTTGATCATTCGATAGACCTGCTTTTAATATTTTGAGACGTCTCTTTACTGTTGCCACAAAGACTGTACCAGTCTGCATTCCCACTGAGTATATGAGTGTTCCTTTTTCTCAGTATCCTTGTCTTGAAATGAGCTATTTCTACAGGTGTGAAATGATATCTCATTGAGGTTTTGATTTGTATTTCCCTCCTGTTAACAGATGATGACCACTTTTGCATGAGGCTGTTTACCATATGTGTCTTTAGAAAAATGTCTGTTTAGCACCTCTGTTTGTTTTAGATTGGGTTATTTCTTTTTTGTTGAGTTGTCTTAGTTCTGTGTAGAGATCGGATATTTGTCCCCCATTGGATGTATGATGTATAAATATCTTCTCACATTCAGTAGGATGTCTTTTTATTTTAATGATAGTTTCTTTTGCTGTGAAAAAGCTTTTTGATTTGATATAGACTCATTTGTTTTTGCTTTTGTTTCCTAAGCCATTGTAGTTGAGTCGCCAAAGACATTACTGAAGTCAGTCAGTATGCTGGAGTTTGGACTAGACTGTGTTTTATAGTTTCAGGTCTTTAACCATTTTGAGTTAAATTTTGTGTAAGGTATGAGAGAATGGTCAAGTTTTTTTTTTTATGTGACTGTCCAGTTTTCCCAAAACTGTTAAAATAACAACTCTTATTTGTCATTTTAAGTGGAAACATTCTATTTAAAAAAAAAAAAAACAAAACAAAAAAAAACCAAAAAACAAAAAAACAGGAAATGGAATACTTGTGGATTTTTAAAGTGACATATTAGGGAGTCAAAATGCCATATGTTGTTGTTAAACATGATTTTAATTGTAATTGCATCGCTATTCATTTTATGATTTCCTTTTCTTTTTATCAAGTGTTTGAGAGACTGCCATTATTGATCATAACTTTTAAAATGTATCTTTGGATTTTTTTAACAAAGTATCTTAATGCATTTATCAGAATACAATAAAAGTCTAATTGCATCTGTGATGGTTCACTTAGAAATTTAGAGGGAGTATGTACATTTACAATGTTGGACCACCAACATTGCCTTGTACTGAATGCTTTTTTTCTGTCTTTTTTTCATCTTCTATATTTTATTCCTATACATTTGAGATATTTGCCAGTATTGCAAATTTTGCTACAATATCAATTAAACTATTAGTACAAATAATCTATTTGGTGAACCATTTGGAAGATTACACAATTACAAGATTACATTAAAATATATACAAAGGCAAGTGAACTCTTCTTTGTGTTGTATGCCCAAC